CGCAGATACCAGGGTTGGGGGTAAAGGATAGGGGAATAGACATAGGCATGAAGGGGGAAGCTACAGAAGGTGAGGGGGCAAGGAGTCTGGCCCCTTGCCTCCCCCTGCTGCTTTGTGGGCAGGAATTTAAAACAATCCTCCAATAATTAGATGCTGTACCAATTTATAATTTTCCATGTTAAAATCTAATTATTGAGGGGGGCCCATCATAAATTCAAAGTCATATTGGATCTGGGTAAATATGGTACATATGACTATTTTGCCCAACACTCACATTTACTCACTTTGTTGATGGAAGCAAATATTTGTTTAACAAAATCCATTAACCTGCAGCTATGCATAATAGAAACTGTGGCTCCCCTTGCCTCTGTGAAGGGTGTTTTCCTTAGCTTAAGCTGCTCTAAACTAAGTATGTTTGCTTATATGTCATACACTTATCCACCATTGTAACTTGCAGCTTCCAGTTAGTTACTTGATGCATTGTGTCAGAATGAAAACATTGAAATGTTGACTCAGTAAAAGCAGCTCATAATCAAAGATACAGGAGGTTCTAATTATAAGACTAGACTATTCTTATTAAAGTACAAATTGTCTAATTTTCCAGTAGAATTTAGTAGCGTGGGAACAGCTTTCATTGGAATGCATTTTATCATGTGCTGGGTTTTTGAATACAGCATAACACAGGTTTTGAGAAGGCACATCCAACAAGAGAAAGCATGTTATCGTTGAAGCATTCATTCCTGATATATTTGTTACTTCACCAAGAGGCATGGCTGATTTCCTGATTTGTTATCTGCAATGTCCATCACATAGTTGTCCGAATCACAGCTTTTTGATACAGTTATGTGAAAAATATTCCCCGCCTTATTCTTATAGGTGTAAACTAGTTCTGTTTCACAAGTAAAACAGGGAGTGTAATTAAATTTCAATAATTCTCTCAAGTCCTAGCATCTAGATTTCTTTTTTTCACCCAGCTAAAATATGGTGGAGTGATCTAGACATGTACAGGCTCAGAAATGTATATTTATATGCATTAATGCACAACTGAGGGGCTGAGCATCTATGATTTCCATTGCATCTGTGTGCTCAGTGCTATTTCAAGTCAAGCCCTAGCGAGTTATCTTTTGAATTTTAGAACAGTATAGGGTTAATTTAAAAACTTTTTGTCAAAATTATCTTTCTTTGGTTAAATCATCTTCCTTTAAGACAGGGGTAAAATATATGGTCCATGGGCTGATCTGGCTCGTGGAGCCATAAGAACCAGCCTATGGGTCTTGGGCCAATTCTGGACTCTGTATTGGAGCGCTGTTCATAGCACACAGGCGCAGCATGCAGTGCCCCAGGCTGGCAGGGTGCAGCATGCTCCATGTGCTCTGTGCTAGCCCAGTAGGCTGTGGGTACTGTCTATGTCACTGAGCCCAGCTTGCAAGTCACTTTTAGCACAAGCCCCAGCACAGGGCAGATGTGCTATCCACAGTACAAGGGGCCCATGCAGGGAATATGCTGCTTACAGTGCCCCGCTGGACCAGCCATGTGTGCTGGATCCAGTGTGGCCCAATCTGGCCTGTAGACTGGCCCAGAGACCTTCATCTGGCCCATGGATAGGATGAGTTTGACACTGCTGCTTTTAAAGATTTTCCATAACAATCTAGAGCGTATGTAGCTCAGAAGGCTTACAATTTATGCCTTTGGATCTCCCTCCCACTAGTTTTTTTATTTTGTCCAAGGAGAATATTGGAAGGAAGTGAGGGGCTTTTATTATTTGTTGTTATTAAATTTAATTAAACTTTTTTTGGCTTCTTTTATGAGGGGCTATTGTGAGTCTTTAAAATACTTAACTGCAGAGTTATGCAAGTAAGAAAAAAAAGATCAGAATTTGGCTTTGTAATGTGGCAGGGTCTCATGAGAGGTAGAGGATTCAGTGCCTCCTTCATGCAACAGCAGGGTACACTGAGTACTGTTCATGAAAGGAGACTGCACCCTTCAGCTAATTTATCTTGGTGTGATTGCTGACCAATTCAGTTTCTTCTAAAATTAGTAAAACCTGCCTAGGCAAGGAATACAGGGAGAGTCCAGCAGTTTGCAGTAAAATTTGACCCTTTTGACTTTGGACTTTTTACCCCGACTTCAGGGACTTTAGGAATTCACCCGTAGATTCCATTCCTGACTCTGTTGTTGACCTACTGTGTGACCTGTTGCAAGGTCACTCTTGCATCAATGCTACAGTAATATTATTTCCTTAATTCACGGGAATATGTGAGGATTGTTTTCATTACCTATTATGTGTTTTGGGATTCTCATACAGGACGGTGCTATAGGTTGGCAAAACATGGCCCATAATTTAATTTGTCATTGGTATTTCCTAATTATCATTCAAAACAATGTTCTCTCTCCCCTATTCTAAATGTGTCTTTCCTCCACCATGTCATATAATAATGAAATGTAATAGCAGCGTATTTTTTAAACTCCTTGTACTTGTATCAAGCCATTTTTCTGCTACTGTTCAGTTGTCCCTTTCCAGTGGAACATTAGAAATGATTAAACTATTTCTCCCAGATTCCTCTCCCTTTTTTCTGTCCTTGAAGTTCTCTCTTGAGAAGGCAGAGTTTCTCTCAATTTTGACATATATCTATATTTTTAGTAGCTGAGAACTGTCTGTACAATCTATGACCATTACATTTGAAAAGATTGAGAGTAGGTACCTTTCCTAACCTAATCTGAAACAGAATCCATGCAAAATTTCCTAATCTACTGTGAAACAAAATCCATATACAATAACCCCTTTTCTGGTTTCTATTAACTCAATAATTAACAATAGGCTTTTCTTAAGCATGACTGCTTCAAATTCCAAGCTCAAGACTATTTTCACTCCACAGCTTTATACTACAGAGGCCACTCATTACCTCACCTAGGGTGCTTGTACATGTGCTGGGAGGCTGCTCCAATGCTCTGTAATTACAGTGTGTTGGAACAGACTTGATAAGCCATGTCTGCTGGAACATGCTAATTGGTGTGCTTCAGTCAGCCTCCACATCTTGTGTGTCAGTGTCCCCACACTTAAAAATGGTGGTGGGGGTGCTTAATTGAAGCTTGTCCGATGAGCTTTAGATACAGTGCCCCCCCCACCTTTTTGAAGCGTGGGGATGCTGATACATGAGACGCTCCAGGCACTTTAATTACAGCATCTCTTGGAGCCACTCTAAAAGAACCTCTTCCCCCCAGCATATATGTAAAAACACCCCTAGATATAGAATAGGTATGATCCATGAACTCAGCTGAACTCTTCTAAGCCTTATTCAGCAGAAACACCTGTTAAATATTGGAATCAATATTCTGGCAGCTTGTTGCAGAGCTGTTTCATGTTTTTGAATAACATATAAGACAGTGAAGATGGAAGATGCTTTCAAATCTTTCTGTCAGTACATTTATTAATTGAACTTCTTCAGGAACTGGCAGGCTGTTTCAGTTTATGCAGGATAACTGAGGCCTGTTATGGTTTTGGAATCTTAGCAGCGGTGTCAAGTTAAGGCACTAGTAATTATAAGCACACACCTGTGTGACTAGCTTCATAAAATAATAGCCTTGGGGGTCTATTCTCTCACTGATGTGCACTGTTATGGCAATGGAATATTTATATGAAATAAGTGAAATTATGATTTTCCTTATTTTTAATTTCTACAGGGAGAGAGGCATGTCTACCTTCTTGTTTAGGCCTCATTGTGGAGAAGCTGGGTCAATCACTCATTTGGTATCAGCCTTTCTGACAGCTGACAACATTTCTCATGGACTACTCTTGAAGAAGGTATTGAAGCTAATCAAAGCAGGCATATCAATTAATAAGAACAGCACAATTAATATGAACATTTTTTCATTCTCTTAATGCATGATAAATGTAGAAGGTGGAATCCTGGCTTCATAAAAGTTAATGAGAAAACTCTCCTTGATTTCAGTGGGACTAGGGGTTTACGCATTTTTGGAAAATTTGAAGTTAAAATAATTGGCCACAGGGTGGCAGATTTGTATCAATTACTAATAATTATGGTACAAATAGTTTTTGTTAGAAACAGTGATTTATTTAGGAAGGCCAAAGAAATAACTGGAAACTGTGGGTACTTACTGTCCTAAAATTAAACCCAGACATTGTACTAGGGTTGTACATATCCACAACACCATGTTATTTCCCTCTTCCATCTATCAGCAGTATTTTTGTGAGACCAAGAATGGAATAAACTAGAAAGCTAATAGAGGTAGTACAGACTTATGTCTATGTAAGTGGGCTTACTAGCCAAAAATGATTATGAAGTCAGCCCCTAGAGACTGCATACATTACATGCTTGCCCACATTTATGATCTCTCTCTATTGCTTCTGAAAGCCGACCCACCTAGTGATGGCCTTTCAATGATCAGCATGTTCCATTGCAGCTGTTAAGTACCTGAGTTTAAGTTTTTGGGGGTAGAGACAAAGTGCAGAACAAAGCTCTCTCTAGCTCAGTGTTTTTCAAACTTTCTAAAGGCATGGAACCCTTTCATGCCACTTCTGCTGTGGAACCACTACCCCAATCCTAAAGGCTGATGTACAGCCAGGCACCCTGGCCTGGCAATAGTAGCATACTGCCTCCTAACCTGCTCCGCTGCTATCTCCAGTCTCAGACCTATTGCAGAACCCCAGGGTTCCACAGAACACAGTTTGAAAGCCACTGCTCTAGTGCTGTCTCCTTTCTAGGCTATGTTAAGGCCAAATCATAATTATGAGTTAATCAGAATATTGTCCTTCTGCTTCAAAAATATGTATTTATTTCCTTTTTTTTTTTTTTAAGTTGATGAAATTCTAAGGTATAATTTAGAAAGTGTAGAAGAAACCTTGATACAAAAAAAAAATAGCTCCACAAAAGGCAGTTCAGTTTTTCTGGTCATAATCCTTCTGGACTAATTTTCAGTGAGGCTCTATCCTTTTTCTCTGATTAAAAAAATCCTTCCTTATTTATCTGTCACAGTGCCATTAAATAATGAATATCCGTATTGTTTTTGTACAGAGTCCAGTTCTCCAGTATCTTTATTATCTTGCACAAATCCCTATTGCCATGTCTCCACTTAGCAACAACAGCCTATTTCTAGAGTATTCGAAAAGTCCACTCCGGGAGTTTCTGCATAAAGGACTTCACGTTTCTCTCTCTACAGATGATCCTATGCAATTCCATTATACAAAGGTAAGTAATGCAGAAAACTCTTGTTATGAATTTAGCTTAGCAAATAATGCCACATGGGCCTAAGGTGACCTGAAACCCTCTTTATCTCATTGTATAGTACAGTGGTTCTCAACTTCTTTGGAATCAAGACCTCCTTGTTAGAATTGAGGCACCACTCTATAACTTGTGAATTGAGTGACACCAATTTAAAAAACTAATTTATACATTTATATACAGTACAGTACTTACCTCCTTGCAGAGGGGCTAGGAGATTGTCTAGGCAGAGAGCAAGCCAGAGCGCTAGCACCCTGGTAGAGAATTACTGGTATAGTATCTGATGCCTCATGTCTTTAAATTAATCTTACTTCTAGATTTTATGGTCTCCATTGGATTTCATTGGGAGGAAAGTCTAATTGTCCAATTGCTTTTCTTTAACTCTTGCTTCCTCCAACTACTAGCTGCTAGAATACAGAAGACAAGGAGGAGGTAGCTGGGAAGTTCCTATGCTAAAGCCTTGATAAACAATGAATCTGGATGAAGCACATAGATTCATAGATTGTAAGGCTGGAAGGGGCCTCGGAAGGCCATCGGGTTCAGCTCCCTGTACCAAGTAGGAAAGACAACTGCTGTCAGGTGACCCCAGCAAGGTGACCGTCCAGTCTCTTCTTGAAGATTTCCAGGGTAGGCGATTGCACCACTTCTGGAGGAAGCTTATTCCACAGTCTGGACACCATAGCTGTGAAGAAGTTTTTCCTAATGTTGAGTCTAAAATGGTCTTCCAGGAGTTTGTGACCATTACTCCGAGTTTTCCCCAAGGGTGCCCTCAGTTGTTCACTGAGCCCTTAATGTATGCCTCTGATGTAGTGGTAAGCTGCTACCAAGTCCCCTCTCAGCCTTCTTTTTTTCAGGCTGAAGAGTCCCAGATCTCTCAGCCTTTCCTCATATGGCTTGTCGTGCAAGTCTCTGATCATATGGGTTGCCCTTCTCTGGACTCTCTCAAGCTTTACCACGTCCTTGTTAAAGTGCGGCGCCTAGAACTGGACACAGTATTCCAGCTGCAGTCTCACCAATGCCAGCTAGAGTGGGAGAATCACTTCCTTGGTTTTGCTGGAGATGCATTGATTGATTGATTAGAGATGCATTGTTAGGCCTGCTGGCTGCAGTGTTGCACTGCCGGCTCATATTCATACAGTGGTCTATTATTACCCCCAGGTCCCTTTCATTCATAGTCCTGGTCAGGTTGGCATTGCCAAGCCTGTAGGTGTGCAAGGGATTGTTTGTCCCCAGGTGGAGCACTTTACATTTCTCAACATTGAACTTCATCTGGTTCCAGTCACCCAACTTGCAAGCCTGTCTAGGTCTGCCTGTATCTGCAGCCTATCTTCAAGTGTGACCACGCTTCCGCATAACTTGGTGTTGTCCGCAAACTTGGTCAGTGAGCTCTTCACCCCCACATCCAAATCACTTATGAAGATGTTGAATAGCACTGGGCCAAGCACCGACCCCTGCAGGACACCACTGGCCACTTCCAGCCAAGATGACTCAGATCTGTTCATTAGAACTCCCTGGGTCCTACCTTGCAGCCACACATTTAGGAAGAAGAAAATGTCATTGGGAGACTCTGAAGGCTGGACTGCACTGACCTATGTGTCAGTCTATACTAGACAAGTGGATATATAGTTTTTGTACTTTGTAGGTCAGCACTTTGAAGAGCCATGGTCTGCTTCATTGCTCCACTCATCTCTGCATCCTTAACAAGGGGGCAAGGCAGCTTGTGTAGGAATTTGCTCCACACAATTTGTGGCATCTTAGAGTAATCTGGTGCTGGCTTAATATTTCACCTCTTTATACCACACAAAAGACCCAGATTAGAAGTGAGAAATTGTCCTGCCAGGTGTATTCATTAAGTATTTAGGACCAAATCCTGAAAAGTATGTAGGTTCCTACTCCTGTACAATTTAGATACCTAAATACCATATGAGGGCCTGTGAGCCATAATCTGAATTTTTCAAAGTAGTCTCAAGAAAGTCATAATTTGTCTCCCTCAAGTAACTGTCCACATATGAATTCTCATCCCCTGAGCTTTGACTGGAAACATTCTGCCTTAGCAGGAATTAGAGTGCACCTCACCTCTGCCCCTCCTGATATCCCTGCACTGAGGGGGTAAAGCACTTCTTGCTCTTGTTGACCCTCAGAATGATTCTGGGAATGAAGGAAGGTTTGAGTAGCCCATTCCATCAAAATTAAGCACCCAAGAAAACAAATTTAAATAAAATTAAATTGCAAGTTTAATAATGAATTACTTGCAATATATATATGACTAACAGTATAGGTAAGGCATATCAAGCAAATGATTAAAAATGATAAGATAACAAGGGTTGGCCTGTTGGGGAAACCGACTTCTTACTGAGATTTAAAAAACTATGGGTGCCTATACATGCGTTCCAGGGTGAGATGTACATTTTAATTAGAGTGGCTCTCAGGAGTGCTCTCAGGTTTCTGGCAGCATACGCTGCTGCCATGTGCCCCACACTGGTTTTTTTCTTTTTTTAGTGATGGGTTGTTGTTGGTTTTTTTTGACACTGGGATCTCTGGATATCAAAAAAACCTGCTGCACTGCAAATTAGCAAGCATATGGGTACACATGCTGCGTACAGTTTGCGGTGCCTCAAATGGCTTTGAGACACTGCAGACTGCACATGCATGCTCATGGGGACATGCCCCATATGGCCATCATTTAGTTAACCCACTCCCTGGAGTTTTGCCTCTAGAGAGCACTGAGCCTATTCTAGTCTCTAGGGCTCGTTATCAGCCACTGAAAAAATCAAATGTGGTCCCCGCACAGGCCATAAACTTAACTGGAGCTTGCAAATTATCAATATCAGTGAAGTCATATCTCCTGCAAGACTGCTTTTAAGCCTTTAAGGAGCTTACCCTATCAGTCAAGTAAAACAAGATGAAAACTTTAAGGATGTTCTCATTGCTCCTCAGGCCTGTAGCTTTGTGTACCTTTGATGTCCCACAGGGTACTTCAGAGCTAACTGCACACAATTCACTCCCCAGACACTTGCTGGACATGCCAGTTCCAATACCAGAGTCAGTATTTTCCCCACAAAGATTATGAGGATAGGGGTGTCAAAGATACGGCCTGTAGAGAGTCCTATCATCCAGATCATTTCATTGATAGATGTTAAGAGGTTTGGCCTGCTAGCTTCATAAAAGCAAATGGTTCAGAAAATTTCCATAACTGGGTATTTGGCTGTATAAAATTATGCTATGAGACCACTAAGGTGGGTCTGCTGCCAGCGGTAAGAACACATTCAAACAGAGTCCAAGTTACTTCTACACTATCGCTGTGTAAGCAACACTTGCAGGACAGCCATCTGGAGCTCTATCCACACCTTCACAAAGCATTATATCATTGCAGAAGCCTTTAGGTATTACACATATCAAGCTTGGCAGAGAGTCATACAATTACTGTTCACCCAGGAGGATTTGGAGACCCACCTGCAGGTATGTGGGTACTGCTCTGGAGTTGCCCACATGTGAGAATTATGTATGAGGTCAACTACTAAAAGGAGAAAATGAAGGTTCCTATCAGTAACTGAAGTCTGAGATGTCTTATCTGCATGGACATTTTACCCATGCCCTCCTTCCTCTCTTCCTTAGAGTCACTATACTATAGGACTCTGTGGCTGAGAGGAAGAGAAAGTGTGCTTTACCCTTTGTCCCCTGCACATGGAGGCACAAGGCACTGCCAAGGTATTGCTAAGGTAAAAAGTCTCTGGTCAGAGGTCAGGGGCATGAGACATACCCAGAAATGAGAATGTATGTACAAATACATCTTAAAGAATTCCAGTTGCTGGTCAATATCTTCCAGTCATCCATAGTTCTAAGTTGGAAAACGTGCTAATAGTTCATAAAACATTTTTTTTCAGTGAGTGTAAAACATGTTGCTTGACCATAAGTGATTACATGTCAAACATAATTTTACTGAGCACTGCGTAAGTTAATGCACAAATGTGGTTGTCTAGGAAGCCCTTATGGAGGAATATGCCATAGCAGCTCAAGTGTGGAAACTGAGCACTTGTGACCTGTGTGAAATAGCAAGAAACAGTGTACTACAAAGTGGATTGTCTGATAAGGTATGTTTGATGTTGTATCTTTTGGGGTTATTTGCTCAGCATATAGTCTATGTACAAATAGTTTTGTTTTCCTGATTAATCTCAGGAGATAAAGTTTCTCATTCTTATTAGGCTTCTGGGAGGCAAAAGTTACACTTTAGTTAGGTTTTCATCTTTGGGGATTTGTAGTGCAATTCAAACCCTTTGATGTAATGCAACATTACATCAATATGTAATCTGCCGACACTTATGATGTTAGCAGATAAATCAGGCAGCGATTTAAATTATGTAAGTAACGACTTCAATATTAAAGACATCACTTAAACCCAGGGTGCTTGCCAATTTGTGCAGGAACAGCCAGCTCTGAGTTGTTCACACTTCATTAAGCCTCTTTACTTGGTTAGTGAGAACTTTGCCTCTAGTAGTAGCCTTGAAACTGACTGTAACTAATCAGTTTTGGGGCTTGTATTAGCACAGCTATTAGTGAGCCAGATGGATTAACGACCAGCTTTACATATCATGGAGTTTTCTGATTGACAGACAAGCCTGCTGCCTGTGGATTGACTTTTGTCACTGCCTATCTGTGTTGTGTTCATTAGAGCTCCATATTTGTCTGGTAGCCTACACTATAAATATGACACCTACTAAGAAAAAAAAATATAGCTGATCTAAGATAAGATTACTCTACAAAAAACTAAGCTCAGAAGGGGACATTAGATCTTCCAAGTCTGACCTCTGTGTAACACTAGACTTAGAATTTCACCCAATAAGCCCAATAACTCAGGTGGATTAAAGTGGAAAGGCATTCACTTTTATGGTGACAGTGTCCCAGTCCAAATAGACTAGCCATAAGATCTCACGGCTTCAAGCCATGTTAGAGAAGCTTCTTCATCTTTTCTAAGTAGCCATCTCAGGCTGACATTACATATTAGACTTAAATCATACTAAAACTATGGACTTTAAAGTGGTGTTAAAAGTTAGAACGTGCTGCGAGCAGTCTCATGTTGAGGATTAATATAATTTCTGGCTTGTACTTCTGACTTAGCATGAGTGCTGGCAAGCAGGTGTGTGGCTAGGAGTCGGGACACATGGGCTGTGTCCCGACTCCTAGCTACTACTACTTTGGGTCAGGGGGTTGGGGGGCAGGGGAGGAAACAGTGCATCCTAGAAGGCTGGAGGACTGCAGATTGCTCATCTTATCTCTGTGGAGCAGACTGAAGTTACTCTGACACAAGCTGGGTATCACAGCCGAGAGTTAACCCTCACCTGAAGTAGCATAAAACTTTGAGATGCTCAAAGGACAGTTACGACTTAATGATCTGTACCATGACGATGCTCACATTTTAAGTGTCCTTAGGATGGTCTAAATGTAAATGTGCAGTCACCTATTTCCTTACAGACATGAAGTTCAGTGCCAACTTGTACAAGGAATCTAAGCTTCTCTAACTTCTCATTTGAAAGTTTTTGCACTCTAGCACCAAGATTGTCAGCCACTGAGATGGCATACAACATTGGGAATAAAATACATAATCATAGGCTTCATAATCCTGAAGACAGTAAGGTCCTGAGCTTGAAGTCAGTGGTGATTTTCCATTGACTTCAGTGGGTTTTGGATCAGGCTGTGAGAGTAGATGTGCTATTTGTTTCTTGCAGCATGTGTATGAACATGATGATTTTGGTTAAAACTAGCAACATTCATTTTTTAGCTGATTCTAACTTAAGTAAAAGGCAGTTCAGGAGAAATGTTAAACTTGGGTAGAAAGAAAAAGCTTTTATTCTTGAACCAACTAAGAATATGGATATAGCAAGTTAGATACCTAGAAAGAAGTTGACCTGCTAAGAATTATTAACCACATGATTAGCTGGCATGACTGCTCTTTTCATTTATCCCAGTGCCATACACTGAACAGATGCTTTTACTTGTAGCCTCAATCATGGCTCTTTACTTTGTTCACAGGAGAAACAAAAATTCTTGGGAATAGATTATTGTAAAGAAGGGCCTGAGGGAAATGACATTCGGAAGACAAATGTTGCACAGATCCGAATGGCTTTCAGGTATGAGACACTGTGCAATGAGCTTAGTTTCCTGTATGATGCTATGAAATCAGAAGCAATTACAGCTTTATCGCAACAGTCACAGCGTCAAGAAAAAAGCCAGTTTTGCTCCTGACCGGATTTATTACCAACTGCTTTCTTAATATTGAATTGTCTGTGTCTGAGAGATGCCAAGATGGAACTGTTTGAACAACACCAAGAAGTAAAGTATCCATGGGAGAGGGAGCGAACAGCATTTGAAGGAATCTTCTACGCTTTTACACTGTTATGTAGTGTTGGTTTCTACAGCCATTAAGCTTTAGATATCAGATGCAAGCTCAGAACTCTGTAATCATACTGCCTTTAAACTGTACTGTGCAATGTAGTTTAAAAACCCTAACATATTGTTGATATTGCTTGCATCTGTGATATTCTACTGTAAATGCAAGATGCATGAAGACAACAGATGCTGGTAGTACACATGCAACTTATTTTGTCATGCTGGGTGTCAGTGACAGTCACAGCTAACAACACTTAAATTTCAGTCCCTGGTTTGTTAGAAGATTTTAGGATGCACAAAAATTAGAAGAGCACTTCTATTCATTTTGTAAAATATTATGTGGCACTCACCAGTCTTTACATAAAATATTAAACAGTGATCTGAAGGGAAAGAGAGATCGTTACCAGACAATTATTGCACATCTTTTTAGGATTACAAATCATTTATTATATTATTATTACCTAGCACTTGGGGTAGAGATGGGAAGAAACATAGAAGATAAATGCTGTTTCCTAATGAAAATAGAAAAATCAGTGTAAAAATATTGTACATCATAGTGCTACAAAGTAACTTTTGAAGGCATAGCTTCATTATGAAAGCATGCCTTGAAAGTGGAGAACAATTTTTGTTTTGCTTGCTTTATTACCAAAAAGAATAGGTATGTCCTGTCTACATTATCATATTTTCTCACATACCAAATGACCCCATGATTTAGGAAGGCAGAATGAAGAGAAAAAGATTTTTCCAGTCATGGCTGAGTATTGGCCACATGCAGCAAGGAAGGAAACTACTCTTCAGTATTACTCGCTCTCCCCTCACAGCTCTACAACTAGAGCTTGTCACAGGCACTGCTGAATTGACTGCTCAGCCAAAAACTGTTGCTAATTTGGCAGTGGCCATGACAAGGTCCAAGCTTTACTTGTGTATCAAATCTGCCAGGAGAGGGAGTGACTCTCAAAAGCAGATTCTTTCCCTGCTGCACATGATTGGGAGCCCAGTATCATGCCAGCAGCCATGTGGTGTGAAAATCAATTTTCTTGTTAAAATACACCCTCAATTTTGAGGGAAGGTGCATGTGGTATGCAAGTGAATACGGTACTTGGAAATGCAAGCGACTTGCTGTGGATGCACACAAAGGAGAACCTATTGACTTGAACAAGAATGAACTCTGGCTATTAGTGGTAGAAATTAAAGACTTATATTCAGGTATGACTTCTGACCTCCTCTTACATGTGTTTTGTTGATGAGATGGGTGGTAAGTTAAATTGTGTTTTTATTTATACAGAAGTTATCCTATTTTGAGATAAAATAGTCTAAAATTACTTATGTGAAATGTTTTATTTAGGGAAAGGGTTGACTTAAGATGTAGCTACTATAATATTTATCCTGTGATTTCACATTCTTCTGCTTGATTGTCTTCCTTAAGACATAGCATTACTATTCAAATGAAAGGATTAAACTATAGTATGCTGCTAGCACCTCATCCATGTTGCAATACTATATGCTGTTCATACCAAAAAAGATAAATGGCTTGATTCAGTAAAGGACGTTAGTGCTGCAGTGCCTAACTGGAAGATGCTTGGGCTCTGGAGTGGAATCTAAAGCTTGGTATTTAGGCTTCCTGTGCAGTGTACTGGCACAAGTACGCCTCACAAAGTCTATCAGAGAAATTCCACATGCTGTGCAGGCAGCTGCCTACAGCTGGTCAAAAGAAAATGCTTCAGAGAGGGACACTACTTAAATTGTGATTCTCTCTAGAGTAGGGGTAGGCAACCCGTGGCACCAGAGTATGGTGCTTGAAGGCATTTTGCTTGGTACATGTGCCTTGGGGGGGCAGACGGCAGGGAAGGGACCAGGGCTGTGCTGCTACAACAAAGATCAGGCCCCTTGTGGCTCCCCTGCCATCTGCCCCGGCATGCCAAAAATCTTACAAATCAAGGTTGTGGGTGTTTTTGGCACTCTGCCCAAAAACGTTGCTAATCCCTGCTCTAGAGCTTTGGCACCTGCCTGAAGCTCCAAGTCCAATGACTCCACCAAGCTGGCACCCCCAGCCCGGAATCCTCTCTCAAGGGTAAAAGCCTATATCCATTCTCAGATAAATAAGAGTGAATCCTCTTCAATTTAAGCATGCTCAGGGTGTGTGGGCAGTGGATCACGGCTGTGCCCTGGCTCCAGACTACACTGTTACTGATGCAAAATCCTGGCCCTGGAGCAACTCCCTGCCCAGCCGCATACCCTGCCAGCACCTCTAGGGCCGATTTCCATGGAAATCCTGACCCTGCCACAGCTGCTGCTGGGGTCTCCATGGAATCCAGCCACCATAACATGGGCAGGGGCTGCTGGGAAATGGAGTCCATTATGGGCTGGATCCAGCTCATGGGCTGGACTTTGCCCACCCTGGTTTAAACTCACATTATCTCATCTAAGAGTGACATAACCACTATGTCACAGGATTGTGCTGTCTGTGGCCCAGTAATTCTACATCCTTTCCTGTGCTTCTGCAGGATGGGTAGGTAATGCCCACCCACCACAGCCTAGCCCGTAGTCTCATGCTTAGTTCTGCTTTGTAAGCAGAGCTGGATGTGCCTATGTCTAAGGGCAGTTTTATAGGGTGGGCACTATTTGTACCACTTCGTTTTTTGTGCTTGTAAAATAAATTGACCATAACTGCATGTGATGTCTCTTATTGCCAGGATGTGTTAGGCCTGCTCTGTGAGCACTGAGCAGCTTAGGACATTCTAGGGGCCTAGGCACTGAGCTGCTCAGGATGACTTCCAGGCAAATGCAAAAACCCTACTTAAGGTGTCTAGAATAACCAGAAAAAAAAATCAGACTACCATATTTTCTTGCATATAACATGTAACAGCCACCTAAATAAGATATGCATCTTGTTTTTGAAAGGCAGAATGAAGAGAAGAGATCATTTCTTGGAAACATTAGTAAGTAACCAAGTAGCGGCTTCTGCAGCAGGAGCCTGTGTTGGTATATGGGAGAGGGAACAAAAGTATCCATAGTAAGCAGCTAGGGAACTCAAAACATGCAGCACTTCCCACCTCACCTTTTTTTCCCCCTGGCAAAGACAGAAACTTCTATTACTGTATTATTTCATCACTTATCATTTACACCCCAATTACTAGAAACTGAATTTTGGGGGAAACAATGCATGTTTTATGTAATTAACATATCGTAACAGTGGCACCTAGCAAATTCAGCTTTTCAGTCTCTAGGGTTATGTGGCAGCTGCACATCTTTTTTAGCAGGGGGGACTTAGGCATCACAGTTCTGCCAGTGCCCATTATCGGGTCCAGCCCAACATCTTTAGTCCCCATTTGGGGTCAGATTCCTAAGACTCCCAGTGAAGGCAGTGGTATTACACAACAACACACACCTAATACTGTTTGAATGTATGCCGAGAAAATTATACAGAGGTCTAGCATTTCCAGTAAACTCATTAACTTGGTTGGGGGGAGGGGGGCAGTTCCCCTCATAATACATGATCAAGCCTTTTCTTGAGTTCCATTTTCTTACACTTTGGCAGAGGTGGTAGTTAGACGTGTGTGTTCAAGTGGTCATGTGAACCACTTGAAGTGAAGAAGCCTTGGGTGCTGTAAGGCTCCTCTGACGTGCTGTAGTTACACAGCATCAGAGAAGACTCAGTTGGGTCTGCTGGAACATGATAGCTAATGCACTCCAGCCAGCCTCTGCATCTTGTGCATCAGCATCCCCACTTATTAGCTTTAGTTAAAAGCACCCCTGCTGCCATTTTGAAGCATGGGGACACTGATACATGAGAAGCTGCAGGTGCTTTAATTAGAGCAGGTCTTGAAGCTGCTCTAGTTACAGCCCCCCCCCC